ATATATATATATATATATATATACACACACACACACACACACACACACATACACACACAGCAAATCAAACATCTTTTAGCCAATGAAGAGTAAGTACAAAATTATGCAAAAAATTTAGAGTTCCCTTCACTCCATATCTGCATTTGAAAGTCTCACTTGTTTAAACAGATTCTTTAGTCCTCAATATTTAAGTACAGTTTTAAAAATGCTGTTATGCAATGGCACTAGATGACTTCAACTAGCTCACGGTAATGAATTTGTATTTAAATTGTTCCTTCCTCGGGAACCAGCTGAGCATAGCTTACAAGTGAAACAAAATTATAGGGGACAAGGATAGGCAAGTAAGGGAACTGTCAATTTAAAAGTCACATCTGGCTCAATGTTTACCTAGGTTTCATTACAAGTAGCAAGAGAGATTGAAAGAAATGAGCAAAAAAGTTTGTTAGTTTGCTTTTTGCATTTGACAGCACATTGCGTATAGTTAGTTTCACTGTTTCCTCCGCAGAGTCAGTTCCTCTATTGTGTGTGCATCCTTCATACATTAAGAAAGGAGAGTAAACAATTTACTAAAAAGGGCGGGGGTGGGGGGTGAGGAGGAAGAGAGAGGAAATGAGGCAAAAAAACTGACAGGAAGATCCATGGGCAGGTGTGCCTATTTTTTTTTAATTGACTACATGGTGTCCCCTTAAATGAAAGTAGTTTATGCTAAATTCAGCAGAGAAAATTATAAAAAAATCACTTTGTATCTGTTTTAGAAAGTGCCATATTTTGACGTTTTGTTAATGTTGTCATTTAAGCAACAAGGTAGTGTGCGTCTAGTAGTCAGGAAGCATGACTCCAAGTTCTATTCCCAGCTCTGACCCTGACTGTATGTGACCATACAGGTGTCACTTACCCTGTACCTCAGTTTGCCTACCCATCATTTAGATGTACTGCTCACCTACCTCATAAGAGGGCTGTGAAGCTTATTTGTTTGTGAAGTGCTTTGAGATTCTCAGATGAGAGGGGCTACAGAAAGGCGAAGTGTCAAATATGACAGATGTACTGTTTTGTGACTCTTACTTTGTCGAATTTGCCAAGGTTGCTCTTCATGTGCGGATCTCCCTCTTCAGAGCCTGTCATTGCCAACTGCTGCAAAAGTCTCCCGACCTAAAATGGAAAAAGAACACTTTGGGCAAATATTTCAGAAACCATAACAGAACAACAAGATAGATCGTAATACAGGAATCAAATGAGAAAGCTCTTCCATTTTAAACTACTATTTTTAATTTACATATAAACTTTCCCAGAGTTACTTTTGGGGCTAAAATTTCTCACACTTGTTCTTAGGCCCGAAGTAAAATGTTCTATGTGGAAATATACTCAGTCCTGCCATGAGTGCAGGGGACTAGACTAGATGACCTCTCGAGGTTCCTTCCGGTCCTATGATTGTATGAAAGTTTCACTAAAAGCTATTTGAGTTATCTAAACAGGAAGAGTATTTTCTTCTATTAAGAAAACTGTGTACTTTTTTTGCTCCCAACTCAAAGGCTGCTTTGTTTTAATTCCATCTTTCATTCAATGAATGTATAATAGTACCTTATTTGAAATTATTTCATTATTTGTAAAAGAAATCCTAGCCAGTTGTTTGAATATTGCACGCGAAGCCGTTATTTTCCATATGTTTTTAAGCCTATGCTGGAGTATTAGGCTCTGATTCTTCCCAGCAAATATGGAAGGGATGAGGGTTGAGCCTAGAGATCTTAGACCTGAAGATTTTTAAAGGCCATGTAAATTTTGCTAGACACACATGGAAAAAAACACAAACCTCTGACTCAGTTTGTACACTGTTTAACATCTTTTTCCTGAAAAATAATCCACCATAACCTGTCACCAAGAGGTTTATAAAATTGTGAGTCCTATAAAAATATACAAAAAATGATATCGCAGGTGTATAAGTGATCCCTTGTTTTACAGCAGCATCTAAAGAACCCAGTCAGGATGAAGGCCCCCTTCTGCTATGCATTGTGCAAACATAGTAAGACACTCTCCCTGCTCTACAAAACTTACTGAAATAAATTTAATCAGTCAGTATACCAGTTACACTTACATACATTGATGCCATGTTTTGCCTCATGTACAAGGAGCATGCAGTAGTTTTTTAGTCAAGTGGATGCTATTTAATACCACTAATGAATATTAAGTTCCCAAAACATTTGCACAAAGACAATAAATTCTGTCACCTGAAGGCATATTCTAAAGTGTTAATACAGCAAGTAGTTGCCCAATAAGCAACATGGTGTACATCCATTCAGAGGATAAAAGAGACAGACATTTGGCAGAAGTGCTAAATGACTGTTTCAGTTTTCACCAAAAAGTTTAGTAGCAATTGGACATCTAACGTACTGAATGCCAGTGAAGATTAGGTAGGATCAGAGGCTAAAATAGGGAAAGAACAAGTTAAAAATTACTTAGACAAGTTAGACGTCTTCAAGTCACCAGGGCCTAATGAAATACATCTTAGAATACTCATGGAGCTGTCTGAAGGGATATGTGAGCCATTAGTAATTATCTTTGAAAAGTCATGGAAGATGGGAGAGATTCTAGAGGACTGGAAAAAGGCAAATATAGTGCCAAGCTAAAAAGGGGGAATAAAGACAACCTGGGGAATTACAGACCAGTCAGCTTAACTTCAGTACCGAGAAAGATAATTAAGCAAATAATCAAGCAATCAATTTGCAGACACCTAGAAGGTGATATGTAACAGTCAGCATGGATTTGTCAAGAACAAATCATGTCAAACTAACCTAATAGCTTTCTTTGACAGGGTAACAAGCCTTGTGGATGGGGGGAAAGTGGTAGATGTGGTATATCTTGACTTTAAGTAAGGCTTCTGATACTGTCTCGCATGACCTTCTCATAAACAAAGTAGGGAACACACAACCTAGATGGAGCTACTATAAGGGTGGGTGCATAACTGATTGGAAAACCATTCCCAGAGGGTAGTTATCAGGGGTTCACAGTGAAGCTGGAAGGGCATATTGAGTGGGGTCGCACAGGGATCAGTTCTGGGTCTAGTTCTGTTCAATATCTTCATCAATGATTTAGATAATGGCATAGAGAGTACACTTATAAAGTTGCAGACAATACCAAGCTGAGAGGGGTTCCAAGTGCTTTGGAGGATAGGATTAAAATTCAAAATGATTTGGACAAATTGGAGAAACTGTCTGAAGTAAATCAGATGAAGTTCAATAAGGACAAATGCAAAGTACTCCTCTTAGAAGGAACTATCAGTTGCACAGAACAAAATGGGAAATGATTGCCTAAGAAAGAGTACTGTGGAAAAGGATCTGGGGGTCATAGTGGATAACAAGCTAAATATGAGTCAACAGTGTTGACTGTTGCAAAAAGGAGGGGGGTGTATTACCAGGAGTGTTGTAAGCAAGATGTGAGAAGTAATTCTTCCGCTCTACTCTGCGCTGATACAGTTTCAACTGGAGTATTGTGTCCAGTTCTGGGTGCCACATTTTGGGAAATATGTGGACAAATTAGAGAGTCCAGAGAACAACAACAAAAAAGATTAAAGGTCTAGAAAACATGACCTATGAGGGAAGATTGAATAGGACAAGAAGCAGTGGTTTTAAAATGCAGAAAGGTTAGACATTAGGAAAACTTCCTAACTGTCAGGGTAGTTAAGCACTGAAATAAATTGTCTAGGGATGTTGTGGAATCTCTTTCATTGGAGATTTTTAAGAGCCCGTTAGACAAACACCTGTCAGGGATGTTCTAGATAAGACTTAGTCCTGCCTGGAATAGAGGGGACTGGACTAGAAGACCTCTCGAGGTCCCTTCCAGTCCTACAGTTGTATGACATTCTATTATTTCAGTTAGTGCAGATTAGCAAAAAATACAAATATGCTAGCAAAAGTGGAAGGGTATTAAAATTCACAAGCGCTGCTAGACCAGTCTTACAAATATTTATACTTTACAGCTCTCACCCTAATAAAAGCAGGTGTATTGCCTTTTAAAGCAGAGTTTAGATGTTTGCTATATATTTCTCAACTTCAACAGCGGCAATCAAAAACATCAATAAATGTCTAAAACTCAACATTTTAAAACAAATGGGTATTCAAGCTTTAAAATTTGCCTCTTCAGAATCATGATAGCAGAAATATTTTTATATCAGTATTCATCATCTTATCCCTAGTAAAACCTGTAAACATACTTTAACAATAGCCCCAATAAATGCTTAGAAGATCTCAGATATGAGGATAGATTGCAAAGGACTGTAGAGGATTTTTTAAACTAAGGTTTGGAGGAAAGCTGACAGGTGTGAAGCAGAACGTAGTTCAGGCAGAAAAATTCCTTTGGAATGAATTTATTAAAGGGGGATCTCTATGTCCTAGTAAAGACGATAGGAAAGAATTTGGTAAAGTATAGACAGGAGCTAATAAGGAACAGTCAAATGCAAAAGAGCCCCATTTAAATACAAAATGTACAAGTGTTTATATACAACTGCTAGATATCTAAATACAAAGATGGGTGAACTACAATGCCTGGTATTAAATGAGGATATTGATATAAATAGGCATCACAAAAACTTAGTGGAAGGAGGATAACTGACGGGACATGGTAATACCTGGATTCAAAATACACAGGAATGACAGTAGGTCATACCAATGGGGCACTCTATGTGAAAGAAAGCACAGACTCAAAGTAAAAATCTTAAATGAATAACACTGCCCCATAGAATCTCTCTGGATAGAAATTCCATGGTTGAACAATAAGTGTATAGCTGTAGGAATATACTACCAACCACCTGATCGGGATGGTGATTGTGAAATGCTCAGGGAGATGCTACAAAGAGGGTATAAAGGCAGAAAACACAATAATAATGGGGGATTTCAATTATTCTCATATTGACATGGTACATGTCACCTCAGGAAGGAATGGAGAGAAAAATTTCTAGACACCAAGGAGTAGCTTGTCCTGGTACCTACAAGGGGAGAGGCAAGTCTTGATTTAGTCGTAAGTGGAGAATAGGATACGGACAGCAGTTAAATATAGTTGAACTGCTCAATAATAGAGACCATAATGTAGTTAAATTTAACATCCTTGTAGAGGAAAAAATGCCAAAAACACCCACCACAGTCGAATTTAACTTCAAAAAGGGGAACTGTACAATAATGAGGAAGTTAGTTAAACAGAAATTAAAAGGAACAGTCACAAGGGTGAAACACCGGCAAACTACAGGGAGACTATTTAAAAACACCATAATAGGAGGCTCAAACAAAACGTATACCCCAAATTTGAAAAACAAAGAATAGAACAGTAATAACAAAAAATGCCACCATAGCTAACTAGTGAAGTAAAACGAAATAAGAGGCAAAAAAGGTATCCTTTAAAAACTGGAAGTCAAATCCTAGTGAGGAAAATAGAAAGGAGCATAGACTCTGGCAAGTCAATTAGAAAGCAGGCCAGGAAAGACTATGAAGAGCAACTAACTCAAGACAACAAAACAAGGTAACTACATCAGAAGTAGGAAGCCTGCCAAAACAATCAGTAGGGCCGCTGTATGATTGAAGTGCTAAAAGAGCGCTCCAGGAAGACAAGGCTGTTGCAGCAAAGCTAATTAATTCTTTGCATTGTCTTAACTGCAGAGGATATGGGGGAGATCCCCCCCCCACAAGCCATTCTTTTCAGGTAACAACTCTGAGGAACTGTCCCAGATTCAGGTGTCAATAGAGGAGGCTGGAACAAACAGATGAATACCATCTGGTCCTGGTGACTTATTACTATTCATTTTATCAAAGAGTTCTGAAGGAAGTCCAATACGAAACTGAAGAACTACTAACTGTGGTACATAACTCATTACTTAAAATCAGTCTCTGAACCAGATGACTGGAGGGTAGCTAACGTAACATCAATTTTTTAAAAAGCTCCAGAGGCGATCCTGGCAATTACAGGCCAATAAGCCTAACTTCAGTACCAGGCAAACTGCTTGAAACTATAGTAAAGAACAGAATTATCAGACATATGCAGGAGCTTTGGAGCTGTGCTCCGGCTCCGCTCCAGCTCCAGGCAAAAACCTGCAGCTCCACTGCTCCGGAGCTGCTCTGCGCTCCAGCTCCGGGCTCCGCTCCAAAGCCCTGGACACATGGATGCTTTTGTAAAGGGAAATCATGCCTCACCATTCTATTAGAACAACCAGACGGGGTCAACAAGCATGTGGACAAGGGGGATCCAGCTGATAAGCATACTTGGACTTTGAGAAAGCCTTTGATAATATCCCTCACCAAAAGCTCTTAATCAAACTAAGTAGTTATGGAATAAGAGAGAAGGGTTCTCTCATGGATCAGTAAGTCATTAAAAGATAGGAAACAAAGGGTAGGGAAAAAAACAGTCAGTTTTCACAATAGTGTGAAGTAAATAGTGGGGTCCCCCAGGGATCTGTACTGGGACCTATACTGTGGAAAAGGGGGTGAATCGTGGGGTTGCAAAATTTGCAGATGATACAAAATTACTCAAGATAGTGAAGTCCAAGCCAATTGTGAAGAATTACAAAGGGATCTCACAAAACTGGGTGCCTGGGCAACAAAATAGCAGATGAAACTTGATGTTGCTAAGTGAAAAGTAATGCACACGGGAAAAAATAATCCCAACTATACATTAAAATGATGGGGTCTAAATTAGCTGTTACCACTCAAGAAAGATCTTGGAGTCATCATGGATAGTTCTCTGAAAACATCCACTCAGTGTGCAGCGCCAGTAAAAAACAAAAAACAAACAAACACCACAACTAACAATGTTAGGAAATGTAAGACAGAAAATAGATCCTATAAATCCATGGTACGCCCATATCTTGAATACTAGGTGCAGTTCTAGTCACCCTATCTCAAAAAACATACTAGAATTGTGAAAAGTACTGAGCAGGGCAACCAAAATGACTGGGGTATCCAACATCTTCCAGATTGTTCAATTTAGAAAAGAAACAACCAAGAGGGAATAGGATAGAGGTCTATAAAATTGCGAAAGGCATGGAGAAAGTGAACAGGGAAGTGTTTTATTTACACCTTCGCAGAACACAAGAATTAGGGGTCACATGATGAAATTAATAGGCAGCAGGTTTAAAACAAACAAAAGGAAGTATTTCTTCACACAACGCACAGTCAACATATGGAACTCATTGCCATGGGATGCTTTGAAGGCTAAAAGTACAGTAATTCCCCACTTAACATTGTAGTTATGTTCCTGAAAAATGCTACTTTAAGCAAAACGATGTTAAGTGAATCCAATTTCCCCATAAGAATTAATGTAGGGGGGGGTGGGGGTTTACG